TCTTGTGCACCAACCGGGGGCTGCGGGTGGTGCCAAAGGCTGCTGACCCCCAGGGCATCCTGACCTACAGCCTAGGGGGCAACTTCATCGCCAACATCTCCGCCTTCGACTTCCACCGCCTGGCAGTGCTGCAGCGCCTGGACCTGCAGTACAACCGCATCCGCTGGCTGCACCCCAAAGCCTTTGAGCGCCTGGTGCTGCTGGAGGAGCTCTACCTGGGCAACAACCGGCTGGTGGCACTGGCACCCGGCACCCTGCGCTCGCTGGCCAAGCTGCGCATCCTCTATGTGAATGCTAATGAGATCAGCCGCCTGAGTTCTACCACCTTCACTGGTCTGGGCAGCCTGGTCAAGCTGCGGCTGGATGGCAATGTGCTGGGATCACTGGGTGAAGCCACCTTCTCGGGGCTGCCCAACCTACTCTACCTTCACTTGGAATCCAACCATATACGGTGGCTGAGTCGTGGAACCTTTGTTGGCCTCACCAAGCTGCGCTTCCTCGACCTGTCCAGCAACCAACAGAGCTCACTGCGTTACCCAGACACATTTGGGCCACTGCGTTCACTCAGTACCTTGCTTCTCTCCAGCAACAACCTGCAGCAGCTAGGTGGGGGCCTCTTTCAGCATTTGCCAGGCCTTGCCAAGCTCTCACTCAGCAGCAATCGGCTAGTTCAGCTGGCGCCAGATGCCTTTGCTGGGCTGGGGCTACTGAAGGAGCTGCAGCTGGATGGGAACTTGCTGAGCCACCTGCCTGCCACCTTGTTGGAGCCGCTGCACAGTCTGGAGGTGCTGGACCTGAGCCGCAACGTGCTGGCTGCTCTGCATCCTGCTGCCTTTGGCCACCTGCCCAAGCTGCGTGAGCTCAGTTTGCGTGACAATGCTCTGGCTGCACTGCCTGGGGAGCTCTTCACCTCAAGCCTGGCTCTCCAGCGCCTGGAGCTGGATGGCAATGCCTGGAGATGCGACTGCCACCTGTGGGGCCTGAAGCACTGGCTGGGCACCTGGCACTCACAGGGCCGACTGCTCACCGTCTTTGTGCAGTGCCGCTTGCCACCTGCCCTGGCTGGCAAGTACCTTGATTACCTTCAGGATGCGCAGCTGCTGCCACCTGATGGCACCACCTGCCATGACTGGGCTTCCCTGTCTCCCTCCCTGCCACCTGCAATAGGGCAGTGGCCCAGGGAGCAACAGTGGCAGCCGATCACAGTCCCTGAGAGGTTCAGGGGCAACAGCAGTCACAGCCCAGTTCGATTGGGACCCGACTCCCTGCCCTCCGCCTCCACCATGCATTTTCTGGATACTCAGGAGGGGCCTGCACCAGCCCGAGGCAGTGGGAGAGCCAAGCCCACCCCTACAGCCTCCCTAACCAATCTGCTGGACGGCTCCAAACCACACCATCCTCTGGCTGGCCGTG